ATGGGAAATAATGGAGAAATAAACGATAAAGCCCAAAAGGAGAAAAAGTCTGATTGGATGCCAGTGTGAACACTGCAGGATAAAATGTGTGAATAATTACTTAAATAAAACCGGCTTGTGAAAATCTGCCTTCAGGAAAATGCTTAGAAATAAACAGTAGCATAAAATGGTGTCTAAATGCCAATATAGCAGTTAGCGCAGTCTGTTTTCATGCTGCCATAAAGCTGAATCTATAAAATCCAGCATAATCACCTTCACTTGTTGATCTGGAAATGATTAGATATTTAGCATTATTTTAATTTAACTGAGTTGTGAGTCGTTAGCATGGAGCTATCTGTAAGTATGTTAGTTCCTGTCCATCAGTTTCTTTCAACTGGACAGGAGGTGGGCTGCAGTCCATGATCTATTTCTTGCATTATTCCAGACTCCTTTTTGACATTGGAAATGTAATAAATTGTACTCCGCCCTCTGTATGTTCTGAGAGTATCCTGACATGGGTAACATGTCAGGATTGCATGTTACCCACTGACAACTGGGGCTGTGATTATCTATAGTTTTCCTCAAAACCTCTCTGACTGCCGCGTGTTTTCTATAATAGATACTGACAACATTGTCGGCGTACTGAACGCTGATTGGTCAGTTGCTGACAACAGCCTGGAATGATTGGGGGAGGTTTGCTCTATGTCAGCATGGGGGCGGAGCCTTCATAATCAATTATAACATGAACCCATTTTCAAAATGTATAAAATCATATTGTTTAAAAATAAGGTTTGTCCACTTTTCAATTCTTATGAAATAAAAATAATTGTTTTTAAAACACATTTAACTATTGGTTTAGTTTGTTTAGTTTATCAGGCTTATTTTTCAGAGGCTTAAAAAGATCAGAGAGCAAACAGAGAACATTTATCAAAGGACATTTATATCTTAAAGTCAACTTTGTTTTCTCAGAAGACAGTCAAAATAGTTTTAAATGTTCCTCTGTATATTTTGTTGACTCGGTTTTCCCAGAGGGAGAATTTATTCCTGAGGCGTTTAGATGAGGCCTGGAGTTGTTTGTTGATGGAGCTTGAAAAGTTGAAGATTTAATGAAAGAAAGATGATTAAAAAGAAAAAAAAAGATAAAAATCTCAGAGAACCAAGTGAGCCAGAGAACAAAACCATAAAACCAAGGAGAGGAGCAGCAGGGAATCAACGGGGAGAGAACAGGAGGAACCGGCGAGGAACCAGCGAGGAGGAACCGGCAAGGACAAAAGGTGAACAAGTACTGGGAGGCTGAATGCTGGAAGGAGTTAGCTGATTGGCTAAAAAACATAATTAAATTAGAGTAACTAAGAATAACTAGTCATGAGAAATAAACTAGAATCACTAAGAACTGAACCAAAGCAAAACAAAACAAACAAAACTAATTTAATCAAAATAAAAGCAAAATAATTAATCCAACTAGAATCCAACTCCAAAACAACCAGAGACCCTTTAACAGAGTTTAAACTGAGCATAAAATATTCACCATGACCTGGCATTAAAATGAAACATTTTATAAGCACGGGTTTTAGGTTGATGCAGACTTTTCCCAAATAGGTGCAAAATTGGGCAAAAAATTTATTTTGTTACAGTTGGTAAAAAATCAGAATTTCATGCATGTTTATATGCATGTTTATATGCATACATCTGCAGCTGTACTCGCTTACATCTGTCTCTTTTTGACCTGCTGATGATGATATTGAGAATGAAATGATTCTCTCACAATCTCATTCTGTCTGATCCATTTGAAAAAATATTAAATTATTCACAGCACATTTTAGATCAACAGATTTTCATCAGAAAATGCCGTTAAAACGTTGAAAGCACCTGATCATTTCCCCCGTTTCCCAGCAGGGGGCAGCAACATGATTTCGGCTCAAAATGCTTGTTTCGTGTTACAACTTCAGTGAGAAGAACTGAATAAAACACTTTTTACTCAACTGCATCTCGTCAGTAATCTACTCCTCAGTATTTAAAAATGTAATTACTTTTTTTTTACTGTTCTACTTTGTTTTTGGCACAATATTGAGTTTTAATTATCTGTAAGATTTAATAATTATAAACACAAGAAATAAATTGTTGGAATATATCACAATGTCTGATGATTCTGTGTAATGTGAGTTTTACTTACATTTCTATGAAGTACTTTAATTGATGAGATGTTGTAGTTCACTATGTTTTTAAAACACTTAAATTCCCAGGAGAAAATTAAAATGATTCCTGCAGACCTGAATGCCTCATATAAGTTGTCTTGGTGTTTTCTCCAGTATCTTTGTTGTCATCTTCAAACTATGTAAGCATGTCCAGTTACTCTGTGCAGAAAGGAAGCTGCTGATACGACATTAAGCCTGCAGGAGGCGGCGGCGCCTGAGTCGGTGAAATGTCACCATTTTCTCTGAATTTGTTATGTTTGGTCATAACATTAGCACTGGATTTGATGTATATGTGCAGATTAAACATCCATGCAGAACATGGTACAATCAGAAACCACCAGGCTCTGTTTAGGCTCATCTCAATTTATTAATGAGACCAACACTAATGGGGATAAATGAACATTTATATCTTTTTACGTTACATTTAATGGGCATGTATCCACTAGCAGAAGGCAGCAGCCTGTGACGGTGATGAAGACGGTGATTTGGGTCAACATGGATGGCTTTAGCCTTCCTCCTTCCTCTGGTTCTGCAGAGCTGGAGGAGATCGACCAGACTTTGTCATTTTACTACACATCCTTACAATTTGTTCAATTATTATTCAGGGTAAGCAACTCAAACTGACAAATGAAAGAAAATGTTAAAACTGACTTGATAAAGCAAGAGAAACATTTTCATAAAACTCTGTTGCACTGAAACTCCTTAATGCGAGCGCCAGTGGGCCTGAGCACAGACTGCACCTGTCATTAAGCTCAAAGGTCAAACAGTGGCTGATGATTGTTGTACAACCTCAACAGCCTGACCATGATAAAACCTGGTCATATGGAAACTTCTTCCTAAAATCAATTAATGTCTCTTTGGTTTGAGAGACATTAGTGTCCAGAAATGAGGGCTCACAAAGAAACCCGTCCCCACAGAACCAAGACACAGTTACAGAGTCATCAGCAAGCTTTATAATGTGTGTGCCTTTAGTTTGACTCATCCGGAGATGAACTGAATAAAAGTGGTGAAAGATCTGTTTGTACTGAAATAATAATGCTGGAAGGTAGATATCGGCCTTGAGGTTTTTTAGTCTTGCAGCAAGTGAGCAGAAGAAGCACAAAGCAACAATATGAAACAGTATTTGCCTTCAATGAGCTTGATTGGACTTCTGTGGAGTATCGCATTGTTTCAGGTAACAGGAGCCGATCCAGAGACAGAACCTCACACGCCACCAATCCTATGGGACGTTTTACTGCTTAATTACATATTTTATGCAGTTTTTAAAATAATCCCCTTAAACTAAAAGCCAGGTTGTCTTTGGAAAACATAACAGTAACTTAATGTTCAGTAGATACATACACTATATTAATATTTTGTAATTTATTTCCTGTGGCAGGTCTAGCCACAGGATTTACTTCCCCAGTAAAGTTTTATTAAATAGGAATTTAGAAATGCCAAGTTTGAATAAGATAAAGGATGTTTATTACAACAAACTGCTTTCAGCTGGATGCTCAAATCAGGCCAAACAATCAAAGTTTGTGGTCTGTATTTCACATAGTTTCACATAATCAAAGTCAGATAATCTACTACTGCTGTTGGTGACGGGATTAAATCTTTTGAACCGCCTTCACGCTGCAGCATCCAACAGCTGGTAGTGGTTAACTGACTCAAAACAATTTACAAGCTATGAAACATAAATCAGTCAGTCTATTAGAGTATGAAAGTAGAACAATGAGTCACAATGATCTTGAGGTTTTAACACCACAGAAATATGTGTGAGCTGAACAAGTACAAAGCAACCAAAATTGCAAATGGTATTAAAATGCATCATTAGATTTCTGCACTATATATATATATTTTTTCTTTTAGGTAACAGAATCTCACACTGTCAGAGATTGCTGATTGGTACGCTTTAAAGTTTCATCTATTACATATTTTATGCAATTTTCAAAGTAATCCTTCAATGTCTGTAAAGCAGTAATGTAAGCTATGTTCTGAAGTAACATAATGGTCGCTAATGTCTTCTCATTTATTTTATGTGATAGATCTAGTCACAGGTTTAAGTTTTATGAAAATTTAGAAATGCAAAATTTGAGTAAGATAAAGGACATTTATTACAAGAAACTGCTTTATTATTCAGTTTTGATAACTTTAAATATTAAAAGGTTGTTTTCAGATAAACTTCAGTATTTTAAACAATGGCTGATTTAGCATCTCTTTTTTTCACACTTTTTGCTCAACAACTTCATAATGTTTATACAGTTTGTGATAATATATGATTTGGTAAAACAAGAACATCAGAAATAACACATAAAGAAGAGTTTAATGATAACTTGACCACAACGTTTGGTGAAGAAAGTGGGACGTTTGTGGTTCTGATGACATCACAACTTTGTGGTAAGGATGTGGAAAAGTCACTTCAAGTTTCTGTGTCATTTGCTCTACAAAGATCAAATGGTCTACAAACTTGTAGCCACTAATATATAAATATTTATAAAATATATATTCAAAGCTGAACTAAAATTGGAATAGTTTTGTCTGATTTAATGTCATGCATTGAGAAAACAATGTAATGGGTTCATATAATTATTTGCTTCAGTTTAATTCATTTAATTCATTTGAAGGGTTAATGCAAAATAAGTAACAATGCAACATATTCTCCTCAAAGACCCCGAGGAGGCTGGTATTGACTAGTAACCAATCCTGTGTGTCTGCAGAAGTCGTGTCTTTATTTGGTGTTGTGTGAGTTGAATTAAGCTCTGATTGGCTCTTTAGAAAAATCCTCCTTCAGATAATCAGATATTAAAGAAGCAGTCAGGCTGAGATGAAACCATTTCTGCCTCTAAAACAAACCTGCAGCTTTATTTCACCTGAGAACTCGTCAGCTGATCAAAGACTCTTCAGTAAATCAGGTAAAATGTTCACATTCTCTCAAGTAATTCAACATTATGATTTAATGAGGGGAAAAAACAAATATCCAGCTCGTTTTGTAATATAACTGGTTGGTTAATTGGGCATTTTTGAACGGTAGTAACTAAAATGATTTGTCTCTTAATGTACAGCTGCTACTGTCCTCTGACTGCTGTCCTCTGACTGCTGTGAAGAAGAAATCAACAGGCAGACATGGTAAAATGAAACTAACTACCAGGGCTTATCTTTAACCAGAAAGTCAAAACAATTAGTCATTAATTTTAAATTAGGCAAAAAATGTTTTGAAAGCACTACCTTGAAGAATTAAAGCACATTAACTGTAATAGACCGTAAATGGAATAATCTAGATAATGATTTGAAAAATTATTTATCAATCCTTCAAACAAAGAAATCCAAACAAGAAAAAGATACCTTCAATATTATTTACAACAAATAATGTAACAGCTTCTTATTATTGAATCTAAGAAAAAGAAAGAAAGATACATAATTATGTAAAATAAAAAAACATATTATTCTAATAAATAATAAAATACTTGATTTATTCAAAGCGCATATTCATTCTTTGAATATTATCCAATTAAATTGAGTAAAATCAAATAAACCCAAAATCAGCTTAACAATAAAACAAATTAATGAAATCCATAACTGGAATAAGCTCCTAATCCAGGCTTGGTGCATTTTAAACTCTCCCTCAGTCTGCAGCACATAAGGCAGCCACACAGCAGGGAGTTTGTCCTGTCAGACAACACAGTAAAATAATCCTGTAAAAGCCGCCTGGGGTCAGAGTGACGCTGCTGCACCGCACACAGAGAAACACTTCAAACTGACTCTGAGGCCACAGGAGGGTTAAACATCCAACTGGCTGAAAGGACATTTAAAGACAAGAGGTGCTTTAGTTACATGCTGACCGTTATAGAGATTTAGTTAAACTGTTTGAATGAACTGCAGAAGAGTTTCTCATGGAGAAGTTGAGCTAAAAGCCAAAATGGGAAGCATGCCAGACGGGTCATGTTGACATTAGTTTAACGTAACAGTTGGTTCTCAAGTTCTGCAGCATTTTTGCATCAGTTGTTTCAACAAGTGTCTTGTGTTTTTCACACTGAAGACTGGTCATGTTTAAAAAGAGTTCACAGACCTCTGCAGTATTTTTCTTGCAAAACTCAAGTTACAAGATCGACCATTTTCACCAGACTCAGTGCAACAGCAAAAAGCAACAAAGTGGTCGACTCTTTAAATGTTGCAACGTTTTAGAGGTTTTTGATTCCCATGAGATGAAATCTGCCCGATCGGCCCCGAGGCGATCGATCACCCAAACCCAGACTGCTAACCCCAAATGACGAGCCTGGCTGTCCTTCACTGTTTGGTCTGCAATCTCTCCACAGGGAGAAATAGTGAGACATTGTGGAATCAAATACAAAATGTGTTTGCAGAGTTACTATTTAGCTCCAGATGAAAGCTGAGTTTCTGAATTAAACAACATTTTCTAATCCTACATCATTTAGATGCTTTCTTTATTCAGCAGGTTGTAGCAGTAAAGCCTGCAGCCCAGTTTAACCAGGGAAAGTCAACTCGTTTCCTAAAAATTGTGTCTAATCACACTTAATTCATGATTCAAGAATGTAATTACTATTTACACCAAATTATTTGTTTTTTATCCATCCATCCATTTTCTGTTCACCCTTGTCAGGTGACAAGAAAAAAATGGCACGTAGAAAATTATTTGTGCATCCATTAACATTGACTTCTCATTGAAGTGGACAGAGGTCACATCAGGGGAACCTCAAGGTTCAATCCTGGGCTCTTTCTGTTCAGAGACCAGTTCTCCAGAACGCTGCTGCTGACATCCTGACTAAAACCAGGAAGACGGAGCAGATCACCCGGTTCTAATGTCCTTCCACTGACAGAATAGACTTTAATACTTTTTGGATTTCTGTTCCTTTTAGTTGCCGTTGTTGTTGCTGCTGATTCTCCCTTCAGCCAGACCTCTGGACCTGGAGAGGAACCAACCGCCAGATGAAAACTGTGAGGGGAAAGATCCTTTAACAATTTGATCTCTTTTTTCTTTTTTAAAAAGATGTTTCTGTAGAGCTGTTGTTGGAGTAAATATGTTACCACTAGCACAGAAGCAGAGATACTCTGGAATAAAAATACTCTTCTTCTTTTACAGTTCCTTCCAGCAACGCAGATTCGTCGGGTGATGTTCCTAAAATCATGTCCATCTCAATAATCCGGCGTGTTCTGCCTCCAGCTCCGTTCAGTCAGGAAATCCCAGTTAACTCGACGCTCCCAGAGGTCGGTAATACAGGCAAACTGCGATGGGCAAAATGGGAGGGTTCCCTTCCTAATGGAGCCGTTTCCATTTACAACAGCTACACTGATCGCATCGACTTCATCTGCAAAGTCGGATGTCATTCTGGTTTTCACAACCCCAGCATGGGTTCCTACTGCCACTACCCAAATAAAAAGGAAGAGCATCGTTCCTCCGGCTTTCAAGTCCTTGTGAATGAAGACAATTTTGAGATCCTGGAGTGGAAGGAAGGTTCTTATGGTTCTGTTCCTCAGGATGCAGTCAGAACCTGCTCCAGTGAGGAAATGTATGTAGGGAAGAACGAGTACGGGTTGGGGAAGGTTGATGTGAAAAATACAGCCTTTTTTCTCCCCTGGGAGGGGAAGGAATATCGGTACAAGAAGTATGAGGTTCTGACCCAGATGAAGCCTGACAAAGATCTCATCTCTGATGTCACTTATCACATAGATCAAGCTAAAATTTTGAAATATCCTCCAAAAACCCTCCAAAGCTCTACTACTACCAACCGTGCCCTCAGTCCTGTGACCAAAACCGTTTCTCTGACTAAGACAACCACAGATGAGAGACGGTGGGACATCAGCTCCTCCATCACCGTCGGTGTGAAAACGTCCATCACTGCAGGAATTCCTGGCATTGTGGGTGGAAATATTGAAATCAGTGCAGAGACGACTCACACGTTCTCAGGTGGACATACCTGGTCAGAACAGGTCTCCCACTCTGTCTCTATAGAGCTTACCGTACCACCAAACCACAGCTGCACAGTGAAGATGGTTGGTTATCAGTACAGAATGGACGTTCCCTTCACCGCCCGCATCAAGCGAACCTATGAAGACAGAGAGATCAAATCCACTATGATCTCTGGAACGTATCACGGAGTCCAAGTTGGAGAAATTAGGGTTGAGGTGGAAAAATGCAAACCTTTGTCCTGTTCTTCAGCCTCTTCAGACAAAATACAGGAAGGAAACTGAAAAACTATAACGTACAGCTAGTGCTTCTTTGCCAGGCATTTGATTTAGAGCTTCAGCTTCATTTATGCTTTTTAATTCAGACTCTATAAATGTAATCAGTAGGAGTGTAACTGTCTTCCAGAATATCTCTGTTACATTTCAGACCTTTTGGTTTGATAAGTTGTCATCACCAAAATACTTTTCAACAGTGATAATTTACCTGTTGGGCTCTGAACTTTTTTCTCTCCTCAATCATATTAAAAGTCCTGTAAACATCACCAGTACAGAGACAAACGGGGAGAAAAGCTGCAACCAAAACACCCTGGAAGCCTTTCTAGCAGCAGGAACTGGAGGCGTTTTCACCACTGGTGCAAACTAACTAACTAACTGCTGAGTTAGTTTGTTAGCCTGTTAGTACAATTTGTCAACTTTTCTGCCTAAATTATCAAAACAACTCCAGACTTATTAAATCAGATTTGATATATGTTTGTATGACGTACTGTAAGTGATTTTTATGAAGAACATGAAATATTTTAACAATCATTAAATTTAAAGTTCATTCAGATCCAGATGATTCATTATGATCCATTCTATGTAATTTTTTGCCACTAATAAAGTTTATAAGCAATGAAAATAAAATTGTTGTTTTGTTTCAAGCCTACATGAATTAATGATTCAATTGTATAAAATTACACAGTTTCAAAATTAGCCTTTTCTTTCAGTACAATAGCCATTCTTTGACTTTTATTAAATAAAAACATGGATTTTAAAACCTCCTGATCAGTTTAACTGTTGAGTTTATCTCAGTATTATTTTCCAGAGGTTTGATCAGATCAGCGCTTGCGGCTGACAGATTTCAGTTGGTTGAGGAGTCTTCCTCCCCAGACTTCGTTCTGGAGGGACAGACCCGTTACAATCAGGAACCACTGCAGCCATTTAACAGCTGCTGTGATGTAATCCATGTTCTGGTGTTGGTCAGGCCTCAGCCAGCAGCACTGTGGGTGAGCTGCAGGTTAGTTTTTTTACAACAATTATTAACCTGGTGAAAATAAAAGTTTGCAGCAGTTTTTCTTTAAACAGAAAACTATTTATTCTGGGAAGGTGTTTACGGTACCAGCTGCTGAATTACTGAAAGACTTTAGTTGGTTGTTAAAGTTGCATTAAATGCATTATTGTTGTTGTGGTTTATGTTGCTTTGTGTTTAGATTCTTACTATTTTCATTCTGTTCCAGTTTTCTGTGTATTTTACTGTAGACTTCATGCTGGTTTTAGGCCTTTTAGTTTGTAGATCTTTATTTCTGGTCTTTCAGTGTTTATGTCCAACTTCCCATAATTCCTTGCACATGACTTTCCTTGCTTTATCTGATCAGACTCACCTGGTTTCTGGGTCAGTTTCCTCCTCAGGACTTCAGCCTCTGATTTCCTTTGTTTCTTGCTGGTTTATTCCTTTGCACTCAGCCAAGTCTTTTTTATCTTGTTTATTTTATTGGGGCCTGTAATTATTTATTCTTGATACTCAGTTTCCTTTTCCCAAAATGTTTTCTGCTGCATATTGAGAAGTTTTCTCACAACCCCTTTCTGTCTGACCATTTTAATAACTTTAAGATAATTTTTTTTTTAAATCATCTGATAATTTCCCAGTTTCCCAGCAGAGGGCAGCAGCATGTTTGTTATGTCAGAAGTTCAGTCTTTATAAAACAGAAGCCAGACTCACATTCCTTCAGCTTCATGCATTCATTTATGAATTCAACACATTCTGTCACCTGAACATGGTAACTATGTCTCAGGAAACGAGACAGAACTGTAGAACCTGATCTGGGTTATTGATTCTTGGATCCAGTTCAGCTTGAAGTTTTAAAAATAAAAAACATTTAACTTAACCAGCACCAGACCACTAAAACTTGTGAATCGTTTTGTTTTTTATTTGCTGTTTTACTGCTAATGTACACTAAAATATTTTAGTGAAACAAATTGTCATTTTTGAGGGCAGAACTGTAAAACATTTTCAATTCATAATGTTACATTTTCAGATACGGGTCTGACACAACAACACATTTTGCTGGACGATGAATTGTCCCTGAAGTTATTGCAATAAATAAAAATATTGTTATATTGAGTCCATTTTCCAGTAATATAATAGAACAGCATAATAATGCAAGAACATATTCTAATCAATGAACTTTTAATCCTAATGGAAATTGAAGATCTTTTAAATATCCAAAATAAATTAACAAAACAACAAATAAAGGAACAATGGTGAAAGTTCTCTGTAATCAAACTTGTCCTTCAAAATACATTTCAATATCTAAAATAAAATAATTATTAAATCTGTAATCAAAAAATGTCTAGTTGTTTGTTCTTCCGGGTTCAACACCAACCTGCTACCAACAGCGCCCTCTAGTGACCAAACATGAGAAACCCAACAGCAGCTGCAGAAAACAACATGGAAATGTAACTTGGTCCGGTTGGTGAACTTATATAAGCAGTTTACTAAAGTCATAAAGCAATCCTTATGATACAATTGTTCTCCACATTTCCCTCTTTTCATAAGAATATCACATTGACTGAATCTGACAATATGGCCTTCAAATGTAAACCAAAACAGACACAAAATACAAAAAACCAACCGGCATCTATGTAAACATTTATTATGTTATTCTGGATGATTCTAACTGAATCAAATAAATGTCAGTGAGGAAACGAAGGCATAATCTGCTTTAACTTTACTTTAAGTCATATGATACACAAACATTCGGTTACAATGCAAATATATTTAGCAGAATAACTGAGTGAACTGGAAACAACCAACAACCAATCAGGTGTGTCTGCAAACGTCACACATGGATGTTTAAAGCTTTAAATGTCATTTTAGTTAAAGTGGGGGGGGCCTGGTTGACCTTTGACCTATAAACGTCCATTAATATTTTCTAAGCCAAAGCAGCATAAACAAAAAAACGTTGCTGCACAAACTAGCAGAAACATAGTCGAGTTGACTGACACCACTTTTGTCTACAATTTGATGGATTGCTGGTTGACCTTTCATGACCTCTGGAAACATTTCTGAATAACTTTAAAATTATAGCGGCACAAACAGAAATGTTTGCTGCACAAATGTTTGGCACCAATTTTGTGCACAAACTACCTTGAAGCATTCAAGTGCATTAAACACCTGCAGTAATTTATCAATCCTTCAAACATTCATCCATCCATTATCTGTTCACCTTTATCCCTAATGGGGTCAGGATTTACTGCTGCCTCTCCAGCTGAGTTCTGGGCGAGAGGCGGGGTCACCCTGGACAGGTCGCCGTCTGTCACAGGGCAACATAGAAACAAACAGGACAAACAACCACACACACACACACACACACACACACACACACACACCGAGGGAGAATTTGGAAAGACCAATTCACCTGACACTCATGTTTTTGGACTGTGGAACATGCAAACTCTGTGCAGAAAGACCCCGGGCCGGGAATTGAACCCAGGACCTTCTTGCTGCAGGGCAACAGCACTACCCACTGCACCACTGTGCAGCCCCGCCCTCAAACAATGAATCCAATCTAGATAAAGAAACCTTTGAAATCATTTACAACAAATAATATAAGCATCTTGTTATTGATTTTCTTTTTTATGAAACTCACCAAAGATAAAATAAGATACTAAAATATATATATATATATTTCTAATAAAAGATAAAACAGTGACTTATTCCTAACCCTTTTTTATTTAGGTTTTTGTTGCATCTTAATGTATTAAAATGAGTAAATAAAATAAATCCAGAATGAGCTCAAATAAACTCCATAACTGGCAATAAACTCTCCAAACGAGGCATGATCATTTCTCTTTTAATTTTAAGAAGTTAGCATTTCTGTTTCCAACCCTCCCTCAGTCAGACAGATTGTTCCATCAGACGGTCAATTCTCAAAACAACACAAAAACATTGTGAAATTGCACATGGGGTCAGTGCGACTAATCCAGAGAAAAAAACTTGTTGGGTCCAGATGACCAGAGGAGGGTTAAAGGAGGGAATCACAAAACCAGATATACAAAAACACTTGCAAAATATAGTTTTAAATAAAGTTACCTTAAAACACTTAACCAGCTGAGCTGCATTTGACAGAATGGCCTTTAAACACAATAATTTAAATTATGTTTTGCAAAACTCATATTATTATATAAAGACTGTTAATATTTTCTCATTTAGGCGGATGCCACTTATATGGTAGGTCATGTTTGATAAACATTGCATTCTTTCTAAGTTAAATTTAGTTTTAAGAATCAAAAACTTAGAAAGCCATAGTTTGAATGAGAGAACGGATATTTCATACAACACCCTGCTTTTTGATTCTGTTTTGTTACACAAAATATTAATAGATTGCTATTTCCAGATACGCTTTAGAACTTAAAACCATGATGTATGTCTACAGTTTTCACATCTCATGTTTTTTTATGATGATGTTCAGGCAGTTTGTGATTTTATATGAGCTGTTACAAAAAACAGTAATACCAAGAAACTTATTGTGTTTTCAGAAGAAAAGGGAAGTTTGCAATTCTACGAATATCACAGCTTAATGGTACAGATGAAGTCAAGAACATTTGCTCTGCCAAGCTGAAACAGTTTGTGTGAACCGACAAACCAGCAGCAAGCTTCGGATGCTTAGAGAGGAAAACACAACGTTTGACCAAAGTCACACAGCTTCAAGGCAAATCTTATGAAAATATATTTAAACTTATGAATTCCCGTCTCTGATTGGTTGTTTCAAGATAGCATTGGGAGAAGGCAGAAGAAATACATTTTTCTCAGATTATCCCTCATGCCACAGTGTCACAACATAATGAGAGTTTTAACAAATATGTAAAAAAATATTTTTCATAAAAGTTACATGCTGCAGCTTGTCATACAGATCCAGGGGGAAAATGTCTGCTTTTTGGTCTGGGAGGGGTAACATTTCATTTTTACAGCTAAAAACAACTTTAAGAAACATAATATAATTAATTTTGTAATTGACAAAGCCCTTGTTCTATTTCTATGAACAAAATATAGATAAAATAATTGTGGAGGGCCCCTGTTTGTCACATGCCCTGAGCCCTACCCTGCTTAAAACTGGAAACGGTTTGTCTGATTCAGTTTGAGGAAGTGAGAAAATAAAGGTGTTAGGTTTCAGTTTTAGGTCATTTGATATGCTGTGTTAATGCAAAATTAAAACATTCAGTAATAACACAATAGAATAATGCGAGGCTGGTAATGACTAGTAACCAATCCTGTGTGTCTGCAGAAGTCGTGTCTTTATTTGGTGTTGTGTGAGTTGAATTAAGCTCTGATTGGCTCGTTAGAAAAATCCTCCTTCAGATAATCAGATATAAAAGAAGCTGAGATGAAACCATTTCTGCCTCTAAAACAAACCTGCAGCTTTATTTCACCTGAGAACTCGTCAGCCAATCACGCTTCAGTAAATCAGGTAAAATGTTCACATTCTTGACTGCGTTCTCTCAAATAATACATTAGACCATCATTATGATTTTGAACTAGATCTGGTATTAAACAAATATCCGGCTCGGTTTGGTCAATAACTGCCTGGTTATTATTTTTGGATTGTAACTAAAACTGACTTGTCTCTGTTATCTAGTTTCTGCTGTTGCAAACCAACCCGGACAGAAATGGTAAAGTAAAACTAACAGCTGAGTGTACTTTCAACCAAAAACAATAACTTAAAATCTCTACTAAACATTTTGATAAGTATTCAAGTCTATTGATTGAAAAACTGGAATAATCCAGACAATAATTTGAAATATTGCGTTTCATACAAGTTAAGCAATCGAAAAAGATAAAAGTACTGAGACATTTGAGAAATATGGAATAACATTAGTTTCATAAATGATGCAGCAGCCCAGATTTAAATTTAAATCAGTTAAATTAAACAGATTTGACCCCTAATAAAATCCCTTCTTTCCCTGGATTATTTTTTATTTAAGCTTGTTTCTTGATCTGCAGCATTGTGCCTGTATTAGACACATAATCAAATTATTTTACTTCAGAAAAGCATTTTTAAATAATAAGACAAATTCTGAATTTGTTCACCAATTAAAGTAAACTGAAATCTTAATTGTTTTGCAAAAATCATCTCAAGCTGCAAGTTAAACATTTGACTTGATTTTTAAAAAGTAAAGCAACCAAAAAGACATGAGAGGGAAAAAAACTATTTGCTGTATTTTTGTTTTTTCTCTAATTGATCTGGCCAGTTTGTTGTGTTCTGCTGTTTTAATTAATGCAACATTTTATCGTCATTGCAACCAATAATAACTTTGATTTCTGCTCTTTTAGTTGCCGTTGCTGTTGCTGCTGGTTGCTTCCTCAGCCAGTCCTCAGGAAACGGAGAGGAACCACCAATCTGATGGACCCGGTAAGAAGGAAGAGAGTGAATAAAACTCTGATCCATCTTTTAAAACATAAATGTTTCCATAAGGATGTTGTTGAAGTCAGTATTTTACCTCTCATGCAGAAGCAGAGAAGCTTGCATCACAGAGTTGAGATTCAAACTTGAACTTTATTTTACAGAGAATTAAACAACAACAAAATGTGGCTAAAAACCGTCTATTGATAAAGCAATGTAAACCTAATCATATGATACAAATATGATCAGTCATACAATCAATGAGTGAACATTACAGAAAAGTAACAGTTAAAATAACAGAATACAGTAAGATAAAGTTAACATCTCAGGTTTGTTTCAAAGGTTCATTTATGTGCCTGTTAATGCAGAAGCGTTCTGTACCTTCAATAGGAGCCGACATCATCACCAAAAATCACCGCCTCTCTCTTTTCCTCATTTAGTTTTAGAAAATGTAAAACTAAAATTGAAGAAATCTCATGTCTCCTAAAAATAGAGACTAAAGGGAGGAGGAACAGCATAAAGAGGAAAGAGCCCAGTTTTCATATTTATTCGCTGTTCATATTAGTTTCAATGTTTTTCTGGAGAGCAACGCAAAGCTCGACGTCGTTCATAGGTAATTTATTAACTTGACATCAACAAAGACGCAGCGGGACGGATCGTCCTGGAAATGACAGAGAGGGGGAGTCAGACTAAAACTAACTGGATGTCAGACAAATTCATGACTCATTAAATCTGCAAGTAACTTTAGAAAAAAACAAACCCAGAGCTGCTTATACTAGTTGGACTTTGAGAGCGAAACTCAAAATTGTTTCTGTTTTCCAGTAACAAAAAGTGCATCTGTCTCTTCCCTCCATTGTGTTTCTGTCGCTGCTGATACTGTCGCATAGAAACGGTGGTCACTCCCCAAGACACATAGAGGAAATAAAATTAAATTAGAAAAGAAAATATTAATGCAAACTGATTTTGAAAAGTAACTGTGGTCTGACTACTGGATTTGAAATAGCAACGCGTTACTTGTTACTTAAAGTGGTCTAATGTCAGAAAGGCGTTGCTGCCCAGAACACAACCCTGTGGGACACCATGGTGGAGCAGAGGACATATTCACAACCAATCGTAAAATTTTTTTTTTTTCTTTTACAGTCTCCTTCCTGAAACCAGACCCAGCAGATGATGTTGCTAAAATCATGTCCATCTCAACAGTCCGGCGTGTCCTGCCTCCAGCTCCGTTCAGACAGAAAATCCCAGTTAACTCGACGCTCCCAGAGGTCGGTAATACAGGCAAACTGCGATGGGCAACATGGAATGGTTCCCTTCCTAATGGAGCCGTTTCCATTTACAACAGCTACACTGATCGCATCGACTTCATCTGCAAAGTCGGATGTCATTCTGGTTTTTACAACCCCAGCATGGGTTCCTTCTGCCACTACCCAAATAAAAAGGAAGAGCATCGTTCCTCCGGCTTTAAAGTCCTTGTGAATGAAGATAATTTTGAGATCCTGGAGTGGAAGGAAGGTTCTTATGGTTCTGTTCCTCAGAATGCAGTCAGAACCTGCTCCAGTGAGGAAATGTATGTAGGGAAGAACAAGTACGGGTTGGGGAAGGTTGTTGTGAAAGATAAATGCTTTTATCTCCCCTGGAAGGGTAGTGAGTATTGGTACCAGAAGAGCTATGAGGTTCTGACCCGAATGACGCCTGACAAAGATCTCATCTCTGATGTCACTTATCACACAGATAGAGCTAAAATTTTGAAAAATCCTCCAAAAACCCTCCAAAGCTCTACTATTATCAACAGAGACCACAATCCTTTGACCAAAACCGTTTCTCTGACTAAGACAACTAAAGATCAGAGACGGTGGGACATCAGCTCTTCTATCAAAGTTTCTACAAAAACTACCATCGAATCAGGAATTCCCTCCATTGTGGAAGGGCGTGTTGAAGTCGGTGGAGAGATCTCTTTTACATTCTCAGGTGGACATACCTGGACAGAAGAAATCTCCCACTCTTTCAGATTAGAGCTTACCATACCACCAAACCACAGCTGCACAGTGAAGATGGTTGGTTATCAGTACAAAATGGACATTCCCTTCACCGCCCACCTGAGTCACATGTATGAAGACGGAGAGACCAGATCAACTATGATCTCTGGAAATTATTACGGAGTCCAAGTTATAGAAATTAGGGCTGAGGTGGAAAAATGCATACCTTTGTCCAACTCCAAACGCTTTTCTAAAATTATGTAGAATATTAGAAAAGCGTTGAATAGCTGCTAATGTGTGTTAGCACAGCTTTACCAGCCATTTGATATAGAGCTCCAGCTTCATTTATGCTTTTTAATTCATATTTATGCTTTTTAATTCATATTCTTTCAGCTTGTCATTAGTTGGTGTGCGATGATGAGTATTTTTTGAGTTGAGTATTTTTCTAGTCCAGGTGTTTTGGTTTAGTACAACCTGTACACTGAATTGACTATAGTTAAAGCTGAAAACGTGTCTTCCCCGGGTTTATGATGTGACAGATAAAAGACGAGTCAGCAGTTAAAACTCAACCAAGCCTTAATAAAATGCATCAGATAAGTTTTGGTGATCAGACAGAAGAATGTATCCAGTCAGACCTGGAATCCATTCTGATTACAATCAGTTATCAGATTTAAGCCGAACCTCCGGCTGCAAACAAACTGTCTGGAGCGACGCACCACCCGCTCACAACTAATGACTTTCAGTTACTTTAACAGTTTGGGTTTTATGAGCCATACTTCCTAAACAGGAGCTGCTATTTCTGAGATTCTGCAGCTCCAGTTTATCTCTGATCCAGCAGAGATAAACTGACAGAGCAGGAATGTGACACATAATCCTCCAGAAACAGCAGAGCCTTTTCTGGCAGATCCTCCTCACTTCATTAACATAAGCTTCAATTTGACTAACATTGTAATAAAAGAATCAGTGCATTATCAGCTAAGTGGAATAAATATCTCCATGATGAAATAAAAAAAAAATACCAGAAAACTTTAATGAACGGTAAATTTCACATCTACAATTATAATCATATTTTGTTCAGTTATAATATAGATTTTCAGATTGTTAAGATCCTGGGATGTTTTGGTGATTTTATTATTCATTCTAGTTTGATTATTATTCCATTATTCACTGTTTATATTTTACTGTCTGTCGTTAAAGATGAGTTCATCGTTTGTGGTTTGCAAGCTCCTTTTGGCATTAATAAAGCTTCATAGCAATGGAAAAATGAAAATGGTGTCTCGTTTCATGCCGAGTTGCTTATTTGTGTTTTCTTCAAAGACTTGGAAATTCATCGCCATGGCAACATCGATGCAGCAGCAAACCTTCAAGCCTCATTTGAGCAGAAAAAGCAGTGACAACAAGATCCAGCAGGGGGCAGCAGCGCGCAGACAAAGATCAGCGCTTTAGCTTTTGAGAGATTATATTGCATTGTTGATTAGCAGTTTTAAGCTCTTAATGTTCATCCAGATCTTTCTGGCATTTTCCTACAGATAAATGAATCAGGATCTTAATTCCAAACTTTCTATGATCCTTTTATTTAAACATCATAAATTCCTCTGAAAATTATCATCACTAACTGCACAGGCAGCTTTCAATACAGCAGCAAAAAGCAAAACGAAACAAACTCCAAACTGACTGAAATGCTGTGGACCTTCAGACAGTTGAGCAAACCTTAAAATGAACCACACAATTAAACGCTGATTGGTGCTTTAGCGGTTCTCCAAGTAGAGAACCGCTAAAGTCTGCAACCAGGAGCCCTGAAGTCTGAACCAGCAGCTTCTCTGGTGCAACAGCTCCCCCTGGTGGATTTGGTGACTTGGTGACGTTCAAACAGGATAAATCAGGAGGTCGATGCGCTACAGCAGTTTGTCCAGCAGAAGGTCACAGAGGGCAAAGCGCTGAGTTTCAGATGAGCCTGCACTTTACCGGGTCCAGCTTGGTTTGAGCTGAGAGAGCGGTTCTGTTCGGGCCGGACCAGGTCAAAGCTGCTGCAACGAGTTCATTCCTCATCCAACAAGAAAAGGCTCTGGACCGGCCGACCAGCACGGTTTATTGGTTGGTTTCCAGCAGCGAAAAGCAGCATGAAGTAAAAACCAGCCGAGTTTCCTTTGAACAATTTGACATTTAGAAAATAAATTCACAACATAGAAATTGGTATATTTCTTGCATCACACAAGTTGTAACCAGATGTTGCCTTTGGCAACACATGAGGAAGAAGAGGACAGGAAGTAGATGGAGGATGATGGCGTCGTGTGTTTTTCATGATTTATTGACTGAACAAAATTCTTTACATAGTTTTAATTCCTTCTTGTTCAATGAAAACACTGCAATTGCAAAATTGTGTGACTTAAGCTGAATATTTAAATTGGAGTTTTGTGCATGTTTGTATGGAAATGCAGCCAGTGACGCTTCCAACCATTTCATAGAAACATTTATGGTCCCAAAATAGATGAAACAGCTGCATTAAGGTACAGAGGTTCACTGAAAAAACCTCCAAATGTTAGAAAACCTAGAAAAAAATCAAGATTGAGAATAACAACACTAATAGCAATAATACCATGCTGCACACAATTATAATTTAAAAAATACTGACATTATTAGCATAGAAACATCCTGCGATCCAAGAGATGCGGGACTGAGTCGGATGAATTTCATCAAATGTAAAATCAGAACGGACTATAGTTTTTACTGTAAAAATGTAAAACCGCTTGATGGAACAGGTTATCGCTGTCGAATATCTTATTTAATGTCAGACAGACATCATGTCTGTGTCATTATTTCCTGCAGAGTTCAGAGACTCAGTAACGAAGCCAAACTAGTTGAAAGTGGAGGTTTGTTGAGTTTCTCCTTGGCTCCACCTTCCTGTCAGCACTTCCTGTCCCGTTCAGCTGCAGGACCATCTGTTTCTCTCTGAGCGTCCTCTGATGCAGCGCTTCCTCTGCCTGACGTTTCTGTCACAAATATCTTCAGCAATATGCTAATAAAGGCTAATAAAGGCTCTGAATATTCATAAGCTGGAGGGAGACAGCTGGGAACTCAGACCCTGTCAGGAAACTTTGGAGCAAACAAAAGAGGTTAATGAATTCAGGCTTCATTTCATAACATTCAGATGCAATAATTAGTTTTTCTTTCCTTTTCCTTTTTTCTTATTTTATAAACTGTATGTTTTCTTCTGTCATTCTGTTTGTATTTTCTTGTGTTTTTAATTTTTCTCAGATGCAACTTTTTTCCTTATTTTCCTTTTTTTAGTCCTTGATTTCTAATTTGCTTTAGTTATTAATTTGTTTCAATTTTCTAAATTTTTTTTTTGTTCTGCAGAAACATTTTTTTTTACTTTAAATTTTTCTTCTTTTGAAGTAAATGGAATATTTTTTTCTTGTCTCTTTTTAAATCTTTTTTCACATTTTTCCAGGCTCTTTTTGTTAGTATTTTTTTTACGTTTTATTCCTTATTTTCTTACTTATTTTTTTCACCATTTTTATACTTATTTCCTTTTTCCATTTTTTCTCATTTTTTGTATTTTTTTCCATCTATATTTTTCCTTAATTCTTTTCCTCTTATTTTCTATTTCCCTTTTCCCTCAACTGCTGTATTTTTTTTAAAAATTCTTCCCTTTTTACCTTTTTTGTATCTGCAATATTTTCAGAAACAAGAATAAAACCTTATATTTGGGCTCAGACATATTCATACATCTCATCCAATAGTTGATTAAACTTTCATAAAGTTTCAGTATCACTACAGATATTTGTAACCATCAGCAAACTTGTGTCTGGTTATTTAGATGTTTTTTGTACATATTTGAGTCGGCTGTGAAGCTGTGAAGTTCTGCTGACAGGAAGTCGGGTCGGTGAGAAGCTCCGGTTGTTTTGTTGACCTTCCTCTTCATGCTTGGCTTGTTAAGGAGATTACACACTGAGTTTTTCCCCATGCAGACTTTCCCTGCATACCATGAACACATGTAGAAGTTTTAAAGTCATTAATTCAAAGATCACATTTCCAGTCTGGTTATTATCTGATAATGAATGAAGCTTCTAAATGAATCTTCATCCACAGTTTCTTGTCCATCAGTGCGGATCGATGGTTTCCGTCTTTAAAGTGCTGATTCTCAGTTTTAATTTTCATAAATGTGCAGAAAGTGCAGCTCTTTAGCTAAGTAGTTTTACATAGATGTCGTTTTGTAAATGTTTGCAGAGATTTTCTTTTGTTTCTTGTGCAAAATTTGACAACAGTCTTTAGATTTTGACTGATTTCTATACATAATAGACTAAAAACTAATAACTGTAGTGATCACTGAGCAGAAAATCATCATAAAGAAAAACTTGTGAATTTTTTGGTTTTGTGCACAAACAGCAAAAACAGATGCAAAGTCTGAAAAATGCAACATCAGCAAATAATGATCATTTTTCTACAAACTCTCCTCTTCAGGCTTCCAGTTTGTTTAATAAGGAAAATAATCTCTAAGCAGCTGAAAGCATCAGATTAATAAGTTATTTGTGCTGCAGTGAAGTCGTTTCTGCAGCTGTTGGTGCCGGCTGACAGCTGCTGTGTGAACCAGCGGCTGTGGTGTTTGTGGGCTTTAAGAGGCCGGACGGAGGGACGGAGGGACGGAGGGATGGAGGGACAGACGGACAGACGGAGGGACGTGTGGACGTCGTCCTGCTCTCAGGCTGTGTGCAGTAAAAGCCTGGAACAGAGATGCTCTCAGCGCGCTTCACTGGAGATGAACTCAAGGATCTTTTAAAAGAAGCTGCTGTGTTTTTTCTAAAAGTGGGGTCAGAGCGTCAGAGAGGGTCGGAGCACAAACTGCAGATCTTTGTGTTTCATTATTCATGCTGGTTCTGTTCTGAGCTCTGGGGCAGAGAGGAGGGGAACCGGCAACTGGCTGGAGCAGGTATGAGGCGGACATGTTGGCTGAGGCCTGAGGAGGAGAGCCTGCATGTTTCCACCGCTGAGAGTCCATAGATCCGGTTCTACTGGGACAAAAACTGCAACTTTTGTTCCGTGTGGTTCTTTCTCTCTGTTCTGAGTCAAACCAGCCTGTTCCCCTCCTGGCCTGTGGGGGCGCTGCACCAAGAACCACTGAAGAAACAACACAAAGAGAGAAACTTCCTTCTTCACCAGATGAAACAAGATGGAGGCGTCAGGTTTTAGTGTTGGAGGATTTCTGTTTAGTCTTTAGACCAGGAGCCATTTCTGCTGCTAGCGCTACGCTAGCATGTTAGCTTTGATTGTATTTACCCAGAATGCCCTGCGCTTTATTTATTTTACAGCTTTGGTTGAATTGCAGCTCTGGGTTTGTTGTTCTTTCATCAAATGAATCTTTAGAGTTTGTGCACTACAGCGATTATTCAATTACTAAATTAGTTGACGAAAATGTCAATAATCAATAAATCACAATCAATTCGATTAATCGTTTCATACATTTTTTTCATAAATCATCTAGAAACAGAGACATTGTTCAAAGTTTTTCCCTTCCAGCTTTAATATTTGCTAAAGCTGGAATATTTGTGATGTAAAACCCAGATGAGGGTCATAATCTGCCTGCACCTTCAGATTAACATCATGCACCTTCAGATTAACATCATGCACCTTCATATTAACATCATACACCTTCAGATTAACATCATGGACCTTCAGATTAACATCATGCACCTTCAGATTAACATCATGCACCTTCAGATTAACATCATGCACCTTCAGATTACCATCATGTGATGCGGTTAAATCATCCGGACAGGTTCTCTGCTCCTGCTGGCCTCTGGATAATCGCTCTGATTGTTTCTGATCCGTTTCAGACGATCCTCCACTGACTGACAAACTGCTGCATGAAAGCATCAAGTCTGTCCAAACAGGCTCCAAAAGCAAAACAGAGTTTTTCCAACACAAGAGTGAAAAACCAGTGAAAATGTGAAGAATTTAGTGCAGCTGTTTCTGTAACAAATGGAGAATTGAAGTGAAAACATGAGAAAGATTTAAATGTAACCAGCTCAGCCTGTCAGCGACAGAAAACCTTAGTGGGGTTTGAGTTTTCTTTTCAAATCAAATTAAACGCCTTCATCCAAACAAATCAAAGACAGCGGAGCAGCAGATCTGGTCCTGATCCGGTCCTTCCTCTGTTTGGTCCGTTTCTGCTGCGATGACGCAGAGCGACGGCGGCTGACATCACGCAGCGAAACCTGAGCAAAACCTGAGCAAAACCTGAGCAAAACCTCAGGCGTCTCATGAACGCTGAGGGAAAGCAGAGGGGAAGTCAGAGAGCGTCGCACCGGCAGCCGCACCGCAGAGGGAAGCTCCGGACGCCCATCTGGAGGCTGCATGGCACAAAAACAACAAACGCAGGAGGAAAACCGTGCAGCTCCTTCCAGAGGGTCAGAGGGTCAGAGGGTCAGTGGGTCAGAGGGTCAGAGGGTCAGAAGGTCAGAAGGTCAGAAGGTCAGTGGGTCAGAGGGTCAGAGGGTCAGAAGGTCAGAAGGTCAGATCACCAATGGCGTCCAGAGCCACGACAGACAGGAAACAGAACGAAGCTCTGAAAAACAGCTGACATTTTCAGATTCATCTCAAAAATGTTCTAAAGTTTGAAAAGCTACAAAAATGCTAAAAAAAGGAAAAAAATTCAGATTAATCTCAGAAATGTTACAGAAAAAATGTAAAACTTCTGACTTTCACAAGTCCAACATTTTTGATTTTTGGAAATTTGTGAGTTTCAAAGATTCAATTGTTTTTTATTTTGGAAACTCAGAAACAGTTTTTCTTTTGAAACTTTTCAAACTGAGTTTCAAAAGTAATTTTTTTTCTAAATGTTGAAAATGTTTGAATTTCAAAAGTTGAGAATTTGCAACTTTGGAAACTCAAAAACCTCCAAGATTAAAAAAATAAATAAATTTGACTTCAAACTCAGAAATTTCAATGTTTTTTTCTAGAAAATTTTCTGATAATATTTCCCTTTTTCCGTCATTCGGTCCAGATTCACAACAATAACACATTTTTTATCAAACGTTTCCTCTCTTTGTCTAACCAGGAGCAAATTATATTTAGACTTTTTTTGTAGTTATTCTGGTAATTATGATCTTAAAACTACAGAAGTGGAGAAATTTTCACAGCTTTGCTGTTTCTGTAGTGAATAATCTGGATTAATTGTTCTTTCCTGTGATGTTTCATCTGTTCCCAGATAAATATAAATAATGTGCAAAGTGAGTTTAAAAGCTGGAATCTCCAGGATTTCAGGAGCAGCTGAAGTTTTGAATGTCGGCATCAGAAACAGGAAGGAGGGAAAATAACCTCTAACTTCTCATCTCCATGAATATTACAAACTCTTGTCTGCACAATACAGGAGAATCTCAGCCTGTTAAATAATTCACTCTATAAAATCCTGCCTTGCTTTTCCTCTTGAAGTCGTGTTTTCTTGGAGTGAGCAGAGAGACGAAGCTGCAGAGCTTCACTGGTTCCGTCCAGAGGTTCTGGAAATCCACATGTCATCTGGGTCAACACTTTAACTTAACGTCGGACTAAAAATGATTATTAGAATAACAATGATTCACTTTATTTAGACTGTGATGCATCTCGTCTCTTTGTGTCAGAAACCCTAAAATCAAAGTTTCACTCTGGAAACGTAAAAACATGAATTTAAGTTCCTTTCAACCTTTTAGCAGCACATTGAGGGAAAATGAGTTTTATGTGTTTAGTTTATGTTGACTTGTCTTCTTCATGCTGCTGGTTTAGACTCATTTGCATCATTTGATATGATTCCAACTGTTGTTTTCTCAGTTTTTTTGCAGCTGTTCTGCAATTTGACATTTCAGGAATAAATCCTCTTCATAAAAACACACCAATTTTAAACACTCTCTTGTTATTCAAAAAAGACAAAGAAACACTTTGAAGCTTGTTTTTGTTTCCTGACTGGTATGATCAACAACCGGATGATTCCACTGGAGAAACCACAAAAAGACGACAGGAAGCAGCTGGACGATGATGAGCAGATTATTTCTCCTGTGTTTCTGCTCAACTGAATCACTTCAGATTAGTTTTCTCCACTTTAGAGGATCGTTTTAGTGAAAATGCAGTTTGTGATTCTTTCCTGAAGGAGGAAAGTCAGGATGGTAGAAAAACTTCTCAACAGTTTTCTGCTTCAGATTTGACCTTCAGGACATTTTCAGTGACCCTGTGCAGGGGTCATGGGGTCAACATGTCACAGGACTGATTCAGCCTCCATCCATCAGAGTCCTGAACCCAAACTAGGGCAACATTACTCTAATGTAGAAAAAACTCCAATTTGTTTCCATAAAATGATAAGGAATTAATTTTCACTCTGATTATTTTACATCAGTTTTTATTGATTTATTTGCAGATCAGCTTCAGAGTCACGTTCTTCATTAATCCACCAAACCTCTCAGTTCCACTACAACCAGGGTCACTTCTGGACACAAGGGGAGAAAAATCAAAGTTTTCAGTTCCGGACGGGTCGGTTCGGTTCGGTTCGGGTCGGTTCGGTTCGCTGTGGCAGGTTTTCTCTTTAGATTTCTGGGCGGTAAAGGACGTTTGGATGTGATGCTGCGGATCGTTTCCTCTGCTGGTCGTTGTGACGCACAGCCTCATCCACGCAGCATCAGGACAGGATGAGACCGGATCCACTGCGCACTCAGTGATCAGTGGACCGGACCTGCGGTCGGTGATCAGTGGACCGGACCTGCGGTCGGTGATCAGTGGACCGGACCTGTTTCCATCTGGACGTTCAACTGACGGGACTTTTCGTTGCTGCTTTAAATCGGCTCAGGAGCCGGCTCATCTCTGGAGAACGGTTCTTTTCTGCCTCCGGTTCGCTCAGCCTGTGGATCCGCCGGTGGCTCCAGGTCGGAGCGTTGCGCTCGGTTCCACCTCTTCCCGCCTCCCGCTGCGCCCTGAAGCGGGGAGACATGAGAAACACTGAAGTGACGGGTAAGAAGCGCAGAGTTTCTGGGATGAATGTGGGGCTGCATGCGGCGAGGCGTGGAGTCACTGCAGGAGGCGCTGCGCGGTGGTTCCACGCGTAAAGGGCGCAGAAAATGGAAGAGAAATGGAAGAGAAATGGAAGAGAAATGGAAGAGAAATGGGGAGGATGAATCTTTTTGGGTCGTAATTATTCGAGGTCAATTACTTGTTCGCTTATATAATATCAGCCTTTGATCTGAAGTTTCTGGAGTCTCAGCCTTGGTTGATAAATTCTGATTAAAAAATAAATCCTTGTGAACATTTAATGGATAATAATATTTCATCTTTCATTCTCTGCGTGAATCTGATCTGAGATTCTGGTTCATTTCAGAAAATCAAGCTGGTTCCTGAAGCTTCATCAGTTCCTTTAGTTTCAGAACCTGAAGCTGCTTCACAGGGAGAACATGAACGTTTATTTTAGTTTTTATAAACAATAATCTAAATATTCAGAGCTGAACAAAAACTATCAAATGGCAGCATTCCAACAGAATAACTGTTTCTATAACCAACACATTTCCACTGAGGCGTGTTATCAACCCACATGGACTAAAATGCTTCTGTCCAGCTTATTAAAATTTATTTTAAACTCCTCCCAGATTTACATCTCATGCCTCATCTGACCCAGAGGCTCAGATCAAATACGACATCCGGACCGAAAACACAAACTTTAACCCAGAAAAGCTGAACAGTCATTTGTTTCCTGCATTTCTGGCTTAATTTTAGAAACACTGAAGGAAGGTTGAATAAATGTTCGTTCAGCAGAGGATCCTGAGTCAGAGGCCTGCAGGGCAGGAAACGTCTGCTGAGGCCTTTTCTGGGTTTAATTCACTAATTCCCACTTAATTCAGCTTTGGAAGATGACAGGGAAGAAATGTAACTTAAACCTTTTGGACTGTGTGGTTTGCTTCTTTTATTTTGAAATTTGTTCCCTTGTTTTTTATATAAACCAGTTAGTTTTTTAATTTCTGGTTTTTTAAAATGTTTTACTCCTTCAGTTCAGGAAAAGTGATAAATGGAAACTTTGTTAACCCTTTATGGACCAGTGAAGCTCATCAGTTCTTAACAGAAGCATAAATGCTACAAACGTTGTTCTATATATATATATATATATATATATATAATATATATATATATATATATATATATATATATATATATATATATATATGTATTTAATAGTCATGTTATCACTGAAAGAGCGTCCTCTAGAGGTTGAAGTGTGAATTTACACGCGGCTCATCGAAGCAGACGTGTGTGACAGGCTGACCGCAGTGAGTTTGGCTGAAAACCTCAGGAAATAAAAATCCTTCACAGTTTTCTCTCTGATCCCTGAATGTCTGAAACATCATGAAAACGTCAGCGGAGCCTGCGATGTAATCTGAGTGTCATCAGCATAATGACTGACAGCAGCGATGGTGATTTTAGATGCTACATGTATAAAGGGCCTTGAACTTTGAGCAACTCCACATCTAATTTGATTTTGTTTATATTTTGATGTTTTCTTACCAATAAATGCACAAATGATTGGAAAATATTCATTTTTTCAATCAGAACTGTTCAGAATAAACAGAAAGTCAATTTTACTTTCCTCTAAACTTTCCTTGTTTCTCCTTCTTGTCTCGACTTCAACACATTTCCCTTCCCTCTCATAATCCTCCATCTCGTCTTTCCGCCATGCTCCCATTTGTCCTCCCCTCCATCGGCTCGTCTTTCCTGTCCTGTTTGACCTTGTTTTCCGTCCCGTCGTCTCTTGGTTTCGCCGCCTGCAGCTGGTTGATGGGGAGGATTTCGGATGTCAGCCGGGACAGTGGTCATCGCAGGAGGAATTCTGGCTACAGTCATCTTACTGACCATCGTCGCTGTGTTGTGTTTATGTAGGCTGCAGGTCTGTCACTTTAAAGACTTTCCTTTTACAACACAGATTGTGTTTGATCTGAAATGAAAACGTGGATGTACATTTAGTCAGTGTGAACTTTCACTTTTACTAGAGTACTTTTTATCTACTTGTAATTTTACTTTAGTGTTTGAGTATTTTCTCCAGCACCAGGAAAACAGCTTGCTGACAAACATGTTGTGTTTAATGGTTTTTATGTAGACTACTGCCCCCTGCAGGTGGGAGTCAGCATCACTTAAGCCCAGCTAGTTTAACAGTTTGGAGAAAATGTAATAAACTCTGTTATGCATTAGAGTGAAACATGCAGGGCGTGTTGGTGAGATGGTGAAATCAGGAGAAACTGATTGATCTGATAAAACCTGCAGCAGGACGGAGTTCCACCCGATTCTGTGACAGTATGTGTGACAGTAGGAGGCGCTGTTGCAACTTAACACTATGCTACAAAACCTAAACATGCAAAAAGCCTAAAAAAAGCTAACGTTTGGAGATATAGACAGTCACAGAAGTTGACAGTTCGTATCAAATGTTGTCACTGCAACTTACAGAAAAACTTTATGACTCAATGTTTTTGTTGCAACAGCGCCTCCTACCGTCACATCATCATGTTGTCAGGGACGGATTTGGCCCCGGGGCCTTTAGTTTGACACCTCAGAGGAACAGAATGTGTTTCATTACTAATTGAACGTGAGAAAGTAAAGCCTTTCTGTGTTGCTGTGCAGTATTACTGCTGCAGGCCGGAGGAGTCTGAGAAGGGGGAGGACGAGGAGCCGGAGCTGTCCACCATGTCTCCCTCTCGGCCCCTCGCTCTGTGCGCTCCGCCCACGCCTCCCACGCCGGAGCACTACAGCGACGAGCCCGAGCCGTACCCGCCCACCTTCCTCACCGAGGCCAACGGGCCCTGCAGCTACTCCCCGCCCCCGCCGCCGCCGCCGCCGCGCCGGGGCCAGCGGGTCCACGCCTTCTGCCCGTCCTGCGCCCGCTGCTCGCTGCCCTTCTACCTGCAGCATCCGGAGCGGCTGTGCAACGGCGGCCGCAGGATCAGCTACCGGACTGTGCAGCAGCAGGACCTGGAGCTGCCCGCCGACCTGGACAGTTTCTACCAGAAACTGATCCGCTCCTACTGCATGAAGGAGGTGATGACGCACAGCGTGAGCACCGACGTGTAGCTGCGACGTGTAGCTGCGACGTGTAGCTGTGACAAGATCCGGAGAAAAGGAGCCAAATTCTTCCAAAACACCCAGAAGTCCTGAGATTAATCTGGCAGTTTGAGAAAAAACAAACAACGCAAACCCTGAGTTTGAAAAGTCAAGAATTTGCAGAAAAAAAATGAAACATTTTCATAGTAAGATCAGAAATTTCTAAGAAAAATCCAGGATATATTCGTTTGAAAATTTGCTGTAAAAAACTGACATTTTTAGATTAATCTCAGCAATTTATAGAAAGTACAAAAATTTCTGAATTTGAAAAGTTGTGAATTTCCTGGGGGAAAAAATCAGCAATGTTTGAGAAAACATTATTTGTGAGTTTCTGCTGTTCATCTGCAGCAGCTCTGATGCTGAACTGTCTGCAGCTGAAAACTCTGTTAGCATCAAAATGATCATTTATAACCAATACATCTGAATCTGAGAGACTCACCGATGTTTCTTTATGAATTTAGATAAAAACATGAGGAGATTTAAAGCTTCAGAAGAATATGGGCTCTTTATATATTTGTTAAATCTGTCACCATATGAGATAGGAAATCTGTGAAATCGATCTCCTCCAACTTCTGTCTGCAGAAATGCAACAAAAACCACCAATCAGAGCCAGGAGAAGGCTCTTAGTGCTGACAATCCACCACATGTATGTGCTGCTCAACAGCAGAGAAGCTGTGGCTATGCTAACTAGCCTTAGCATTCAGGACAGGCTGTAGAGAAGGAGCTGAAACAGCAGAGAAAGCAGAGGGTGAGAGTGCTGCATACAGGAAGGTGATTGACAGCACCAAGAACAGTGTGTTTATGCAGATGGCAGTAGGACCACAGGGAGAAAGCAAAGGATTATCTGTCTTATGCTATCACAGCATAATGATAGTTTTAGCACATATGTAAAAATAAAACAACAAAAATAAGTTTCATATTTTAAGAGATTTTATTCGGTTGAAGGAAACAAAATAATTCTGACAATGTTTCACATAAATTGGTAAATAGATTAAATTTTCAGATGAAACTTATTAGAATGCAAGTTTAGCTTCTTTGTGTTATTCCTGTAAGTGATGGAGATCCACTGTTTAAATATTAATATTAGCACAAATTTCACTTCGTGTTTGTTTTCACTTAAAGTCCTAAAAACTCAACATGTTGATTCCTGTGGTCCTCAGCATCCTGCCTCTAAATGCTGAACCGGCTGCAGGT